GCACGGCATCTGGTGCGTGAGGTGTGTACGCGCTCTGGTGTAGTTTACGTTAATGGGTGTGTTGATATCCAGCCGAAGAGCAATCAACCATAACTTCAGGCGAGCAGGCTCAGAAGTTGGGAATACGTGGAAAGTCACCAAAGTCACGTGAGAGAACGTAATCTTTTAGTTTTAAGTCGGTTTGAACAATCCGGATAAGCGCAAGTAAGTACCATTTTGATTAGCCGTCGTACCTACAATGACTGTGCACTGTGTAAACAATGAGTGACGTATACGCGCGAGAGATCACTTCCGGCGCTTGCGTAAACTACGCCAGAGCGCGTACACACCTCACGCACCGGATGCCGTGCGCGCGCCCAAAGACAGTTGGACATAGTGGTGTATTAGAGGTAAAAAATGATATAAATACTGTTCGGTTTCTGGCACAAACCGATCGTTTCGTGTCTTAGGACATCAATGTGTCGTCACGAGCCGCAGGGTTTAATTTGGATTTGTCTGTGCATGTTTTTTTTACTCATAGATTTTGTTACCATTGCCATGCATTATACGACTGATAGACTGCAACGGCTGGAGTTAAAAATCTCCGTTTGTGTTCTACTGAAGAAACAAAGTCACCTACATCTTGGATGCCCTGGGGGTAAGCAGATAAACATCACATTTTCATTGTGGGGTGAACTATCCCTTTAACTATATCTCAGTTTTAACCCCAGCATGTAGTTTTTTTTTTTTCTGTGTTAACTTAAAAACCTAAAAAACAAAGACCTAGTGAGCTGAATTTCAGGATATTTGTGCCTTTAAAAGTCAATATCATAAATCTTCGCAGTGTGCAGGTTTCTTATCAGTCAGTTTAGCAATATGATGCATCTGCACCTGTGTACATCAGGCTGTAAGATCAATAACAAAGCCTAGACTGTGACCTCCTGATCATTTGAATCATCTCTGGCAACAAATCACCTTCCAATAGTGAGTCTGTTGGCACGTGTGTCACGTCTGCAGCAGTAAATGTCAGCAGGCCAAAATAGCCTCGCATGGCTCCAGACACCTGAGACGCCAAATCATTCTCTCACTGACAGTAAGATCTGTGTCAATCAGTCTGGTTTTGTGTGCAGCGAGACAGTCAGGAGGTTCCCCTCGTGGGATGGAGCCGTGCGATTCAGTCCAGATCCGTTCTCAATGGAAAGGCCTCGGTGCGACAGACTCCAGTTAGATTGCGGTAGAAGAGGCCAATCGGAAAAAAGCGCGATTCAAGGCTGTCTAATTTTACAGCAACTGTGATCCATCAGGCAGCGGAGATGTGACAGTGGAAATGAATGATCGAGGCAGACAGGTGGCTCTTAGCGTACGACTGATTTACGCTGCACGGGCACCGGACGGAGATTTATGGAGTGAACATGATCATGTTCATTATGACTGTCACCTCACGACCATTTCTCTCTATTTCAACTGGGGGTCACTTTTGCGGCAGCTGGAGAATTAGACGAGATAGAGACAGGAAAGACTACTGCTGGAAAGCAGCCTGTATATCTACAACAAACCAGAGCTGTTAATATGAGGAAATATGATTTGATTAGTTGTGACTGCATTTTATTCTGAATATATTTTAGTGCTGTCAAACGATTAATCGCGATTAATCACATCCAAAATAAAGTTAATGTTTTTTTACATAATATATGTGTATACTGTGTATATTTATTATGTATATATAAATACAAACACATGCATGTATTTAAGAAAAATATGTTATGTTTATATATTAAATATATTTATATATAATATAAAATATAAGAATATAAATGTATATACATACAAATATTTTCAAAATATATACTGTATGTGTGTGTATTTATAAATATACACAGTACACATACATATATTATGTAAACAGAGCCTGTGACAAAGTTTGCAGGGCTTTTATGACGATGACCCGAAAATAAGTTGACAATTAAAAAGAACAGCTGAATATCAGTTCACAAATAAAACACGGAGTGTCTATTTACAAGTGCAAATAGCACACCTTGTTGGCAGAGGCTATTTACACTAACTCCGCTCATCAACGTGTGATTAGAAAGCATTACAAAAGACTATCGTCTAATAACAGTTCCAGTGGCGCAGATGCTAAAGTACGTGTTGAAGTCGTTTTTAACGCGATCAACCGGGGTTCGAATCGCATTTTGCCTAACTTTTTTTTCTACTTTTTCAAATCAGATATCACGTCCTTGTTATTGTTATTATTGCATACTGTTTTATAATGTACTACAATACTGAGGTGCAGATAATTGCCACTATCTGCAATAAGTAGTATAAATAGCAGAAAATCCTGCTAGGTGTAAATATATAAATCTATAGCTATTTGCACTTAGTGTAAACATTATTATTAAAGGGGTCATATGATGCGATTTCAAGTTTTCCTTTCTCTTTGGAGTGTAACAAGCTGATTGTGCATAGATAAGATCCCTGAAGTTGCAAAGACTAAAGTCTCAAAACCAAAGAGATATTCTTTATCAAAGTTAAGACTCTGCCACGCCCCCCTAAAACGGCTCGTTTGGGCACCAGTCTGTATAGCACCACCAGTTTACACTATATTTACTGTAAATGTGTATTTATGGATGCTGATGATCTAAAAATGGTCAAATATCATTGGCTTAGCTAATGTATTGGTCTCTCACTGTCCGTAAGTCATTTTCAAGCATTAGACTCATCAGTTTTGTCTCTGTGTTGCAGTAATGCCGTATAACAGCGCCCATCACTGTGTGGTTGAGGTGGAGAACTTCCTGCTTTTATTGGGTGGAGAAGACCAGTGGAACCCTAATGGTAAAGCATGAAGCTAAATACAACAACTTAATGTTATCACAGAGATTGATTTCCTTATAATTCATTACATGTGCCTGAAATGTGTTATAGTATCTTTTTAAACAATGTTTGTAATGTGTGGAATAAAACTAATATGTGTATCATCTTCACAGGCAAACATAGCACTAACTTTGTAAGTCGGTATGATCCGAGATTCAATAGCTGGATACAACTACCACCCATGCAGGAGAGGTATGATGCCTTCTGAAAATGACTTATTATTCATTAAATAATAAGAGCTCTTCCTAACATGGCTATAATTATTTCTTAAGCCTTTGTGATGAATTTTTCACTCTTGGCTGCGACGGGGATATTTGCTGTAAACAGTCTCTACGTTGACTGATTTTAAGAGACGATCTTTTCATCTTGTCTTTGTTTCAGGAGAGCGAGTTTCTTCGCTTGCTGCCTGGATAAGCACTTGTATGTTGTTGGGGGAAGGAACGAGACAGGTTATCTGTCTAGCGTTGAAGCCTTTAACCTTGAGACAAACGAATGGAATTACGTTTCGTCTCTTCCACAGCCGCTGGCTGCGCACGCAGGTGCCGTGCACAATGGGAAAATATACATCTCAGGTTTGACGATACACCTCACCCAAACAGTGAATTAATCAAAGTGTCTGAGACGTTGCTAACAGGTGCCATTACAGAGATGAAGTCTACAAGATATTTTGAACATTTTAAATTCAACATAAAATGCATTTGAAAACCATTTTAGTATTTCTAAGTAAAACAATATGTAAAAAAAATGTTGGAAAGGATTTGAATTTGTCCATTTGCTGTTTCACAAAAGACAAAAAATTTTCTTTGGAATAGCGCGCACTGATGAATTGTTCCTGTAGCCCAAACAGTAGAGCACTGTGCTTGCAACACCAAGGTCATGAGTTTGATTCCCAAGCAATACAGGAACTGATAAATGAGATTATATCTTTAATGCAATGTAAGTCACTTTGGATATAAAACAAATAATAAATAAGACCAGGAATGTGTACCCGGAGAGGATATTCTTTTTCCCAAAAATGCTAATTAATATTTTCGCACTCGACTAAAACCTACTTTGCTCACACATGTTATATCTACTTCCCAATTTGTATTTATTTATCTATTTACTTATTGGATAATTTTTGTAATTTTGGGGTATTTGTTTTCCACCTTAGTTGTTACATTTACAGTGTTCCCAGTCAAAAATGACTGGCCTACAAAAAAATTGCTTATTGAATTTCTTGTTATATTATTACCAAAGATTCAATATTTTTATCAACTTGTTTTCTTTCAATTAGCACAGGTTTTATATCTCTTTTTGGAACTGATAGTTCGTAGGCCTCACTGATCTTAGCTTATGCACATCCGTTTTTGAGTAAATGATGCCAAAATTATCCACAGATAATGCTTTTTTTCACTCAAAAACTGAGGTGCATAAGCTCAGATCAATGCGGTCTATAATCAGTTAATTCTAATAAAAAACAAAACAAAACAAAAAAACAGTTGAAGGTCAAAAAGGTTGAATCCAAGATTTGGTGATGATATGGCATATTCAAGATTTACAAGCATTTTTCGGCTGTTGTACGGGAGCAACAAATTAGGTTTCTCAGCACACAACAAGGGTTAAGAAAGTAATATCCTGTCGATTTTAATTCCATGTTGACTTAATTTTTTGTAAATCTCTCTTTGTGAATCTGTGTGCTTATCTTGAAACTGGTATTGTGTATGTTATGCTTCAGGTGGCGTTCACAATGGTGAATACGTGTCTTGGCTGTACTGCTACGACCCCGTGATGGACGTGTGGGCTCGGAAACAGGACATGAACACCAAGCGAGCCATACACGCTCTCGCAGGCATGAACGACCGCCTCTACACTATTGGGGGAAACCACTTAAAGGGTAATTTCTATAGCCGTAACCCAAATCTCAGCAGCGGGGGAGGCACTTACTGTGTACACAACAGTAATCAATACAGTTTCTTTTGTGATTCGATTCCAAGTAACCACTTATACTCCTCTGCAGAGTAAGAGCTTGGCATATATGCTTGGGGTTTCCCCTGATCTCTTTCTCTGTGTGTAGGATTCTCCCATCTGGATGTGATGCTGGTTGAATGTTACGATCCTAAAGCAGATCAGTGGAGCATCCTGCAAACACCCATCTTAGAGGGACGCAGCGGACCTGGGTGTGCTGTTCTTGATGACAGTATTTACTTGGTGGGAGGCTACAGTTGGAGCATGGTAAACACATCTTACACTTAGCAATAGATAGATAGAATGAAATATATATGTAATCTAATAGGTATATACAGTGTGGGTGTGTGTGTGTGTACTTGTTTATGCTACATTGTGGGGACCAAACGTCCCCACAAGGATAGTAAAACCTGAAATTTTTGACATTGTGGGGACCGGCCTGTGGGAAAAAAAATGTTAAAAATAGTAAACGATGTTTATCTGAAAGTGTAACAATGCAAACAGGTTTTCTGTAAGGGGTAGGTTTAGGTCACAGAAACAAACGTGTGTGTGTGTGTGTACTTGTAAATTGTATTTAATTATTAAGTTATTTAATTACTTTAATAAAATTAATAATTTATTTTTATCCATTTTTTATTATTTTATATTAAAAATTGTGTACATGTACTGTATATAGAAAATTTTGTTGTAGAAAATAAAAATTTATTTATTAATTAACTAAAAATATTATTAATTATTTATAATTAAATTATTTATAAATTAATAATTTTTTGTATTTTAAAATTGTGTGCATTTATTTACCATACCAAGTCAAAAAAAAAGTCAAAAAATGCAATAAAAACAAATTATTAAATGCCCTTATACACAATCAAAAGTAATTTAAAGATGAAGTGTGTCATTTTTCTTGTTAGTATCGCAGTTAGTTTTGTTGTATAGTATCGCAATTTAATATTCGCAGAGACAATTGTAAGTCATTTGCTCTGTTTGATTAAATTTTTCAATCACTCAACATTGCAAAACTGGCTCAGCCAATGGTGTGAGGTTGGGGGCAGGACTAACTGTTTGACCGACCAATGGCAGATGGGTTCAGGAAACCTGTTCGGAAACAACCCCTATGTTTGCAATTCTGATAATGATAGTAGTGCAGAAATTACACACTTCACCGTCACCTAAAATCTTTCAGGATTTTAAACACTAAAAGAAACTTCATATTAGAGCTCTATATTACACATAATCCAGTAGGACATTTTGACTGGGTTGTCTAAGATTGTACTGTACAAACATGAAATGCATAAAGAAGCATTCTGAAGTATTGAATGAAATATAGTATGAATAACTCGTCAAATATCTCTTGCAGGGGGCTTATAAGTCATCCACCATTTGTTACAGCCCAGAGAAAGGCACATGGACAGAAATGGAAGGAGAAGTGGCTGAACCTTTAGCCGGACCGGCCTGTGCCACAGTCATACTGCCAACCTGTTTACCATTTAACAAATAACTATATAGAACGCCGAATAATGCGGCCGAGAAGAGGAAAAACCTGTCGGGATGGAAAGTCAATCGCTAAACGAATCAAATAAATGAGGAGACTCTCCCTATGGAACGCCCCCAGCTTAAACAAATCGATATAGCTTTCATACGTACTTTGTATTTTGTGGAAACCGCCGATCAAAGACAATGTTGAAGTGGGTTGACAAAGGAATATTCATGTTTTTACCAGCAAAACTCATGATTCTGTGTACACTGTAGAGTAGATATCAGCTGTTTAATATATATATCACACCATGTCTGCTTGTTAGATATTGTCGCCATACTTGAGTGGCACATTGTTATTTGTACAGATGAGAGGGGCATAAATGTCAATTATAAAAAATAAAAAATAAAAAAATTTCAGTAAAACACAAGTTATGATTTGTTGTTTGAACAATCAGTATATTATTTATTTAGCCATGTGGTATATATGCATGGCGTGAAGTGGAAAGCTTATTGTGTTTTACTGTGGGTACATATTTGTTTATGTTAATATCTGTTCATATCTCACAGTGCCTATTTTTAGCATCAGGCTGCTTTATTTCATAAAATTTCCCATTATAAGAATCAGACCTTTTAAATCGAGTCAAAATCATATAAATTATTGGCCTGACTGGTTTCTCTGAGACGTGATATGAAATCTGAATTTGTTGCACTGGTGTTTGTTGGCCCTTTCGATGAGAAAAGGGAATGTTTTTCATTGTTGTAAATAATCGCTTGCAGTGGAAAATTTTTGTGCTCATAGGATTTATTCTCAAATCCTGTTATGTTCTTTACATTTAGTCTATGAAAATAAAACTGAATTTCTGGATCAATAATCTGTCTGGGCTCCCCCACAACAACACAACACTCCTATCTAAAATGGTTTTTATTTTTTATTATTTTATTTATTTTATAAAAAATTTATTTATTTTTTTTTCTAAAATATATTAATTTGTTACCACACATTGGTAAAAGGTAGCATACAAAAATATCAAACCATTGATTTTTAACTAGCAGATATTGTAATTAATGATTGCATTATATCGTAATTTACAAAAGAAACGTTTGTCCTTCTCTCTGTGTTTGTTCAATGTTTTTGTTTTATTTCAGTTCAGCTTGTGATTTATCAAGTGGGTCTTATTCCGAGTCAGTTCTACGAGGTTCTGTCTGAGAAGAACTATGGGAAGTTGAAAAATCTGGTGCTGTTTGCGGTTATGCTTATTCTGATTAATTCAACGGTGAGTTTGGTCTGTTATTTATATAGTTTTCTGAAAGTCGCTTTGGGTAACCGCATCTGCTAACAACTCACTGTACTTAGTGGTAACCCTATTATGTAAAAAAAAAAATCTGGGTACATTTTTTTTATAGTGGAGGTCAAATTGACTCACAAACATCATAATCGTAATAAGACTTTTGTAATCACATTCCATACATCAACCAGTATTTCCGACCATTCAAAAATTGAAATGGGTTAAATTGATAACATAACAGGGCTGGAAGGGATGTACTACACTTGTAATAGAGTTACTATGCGTCCGCTAAATACTCATAATAAATCACTATTCCGCAATAAATCTGTTCCTCAGCTGAAGAGTCTGGACCAGTACATCTCCAGTCTGCTGTATGTCAGCTGGAGAAAGTCTTTGACCGAAGAACTCCATAGCACATACTTCAATGGACACGTTTACTACACCCTCAACGTACTGTGCAAAGACATCGACAACCCGTAATGTATTCACACAACATTCATTTATGTAGTTACATTTCATTACTTAAGAAGACTTAATTAAATCTGCCCTGTTAATGGTTTATTTTGTGTTTGTGTCACATCCAGAGACCAGCGCATCAGTCAGGACGTAGAGAGGTTATGTAAACAGATGAGCACTATGGCGAGTCGACTTCTCATTTCGCCGTTCACTGTGACCTACTACACCTATCAGTGCTTCAACAGGTCAGAGGGATGCTGCGTGTTTATTTGTGTTTGTAATCACAGAATCTAAACATACTTAATCATTCTATGCAATTAATGCCAGTGAAATATTCTTGCATTTTTTTGTCCAACTAGTTTTGCACTGAAAGATTTGGTAGAATAACTTATCTTATGACATTTTTTTTTACCTTTTTGGTGCTGCAGTGCCGGCTGGATTGGATTTGTAAGCATCTTTGGCTACTTTGTGGTTGGAAGCATCATCAACAAGATCTTGATAGGACCCATCGTGTCCATGCTGGTTGAGCAAGAAAAGTTGGAGGGAGATTTTAGGTAGACCTATGCAAAACGAGAAATGTATATTACATTCAGAGATGCTGAAGCAAACGTCACATTAGGGCTGTGCAAAAAATCGAATGCGATTTTCATGCTCATCTGGTCAGTAAAGCCGGTTCTGTGATTAGTAGTAAATCTCCAGCACGAGATCTGCCAATAGGGGCATAATAAAAAATAATGTTTAAATAATGTTTGTTTGCTTTCCAGTTGAAGATGAATGTGAATTTCCTGATATATTGTACCATATTTAGATATGAGTTTTGCATGTATAGGCTGGTGATACATCATACCGCTCCATCTGAAAGCACGTGCTGGAGATTTACTACTAATCACAGAACCGGCTTTACTGACCAGATGAGCATGAAAATCGCATTCGATTTTTTGCACAGCCCTACGTCACATGTTTATGGCTGCTGTTGCTAAAAGATATTATTTTTCGGATGAATGCAGCTCTATTTCAGCAGTTAACTTCTGCTTTCCATGTCCTTCCAGGTTTAAACACATGCAAATTAGAGTGAACGCCGAATCTGCCGCTTTCTACAGGTTAGTATGCACTTTCAGATTTGAGTTTTTATCTAATCAAAGAGCAGGAGATCATTTGTTGTGTTTTTGTTCAGGGCAGGTAAGGTGGAACACATGCGGACCGACAGAAGGCTGCAGATGCTCTTATCCACTCAGAGAAGCTTGATGAACAAAGAGCTATGGCTTTACAGTAAGGACTCCTGAATTAAATTGGCATTCTGAAGATATATCAAATTGTAATGTAATAAAGTGTGCAATATTCCTCACTATTGTTACTGAAAATATACAGTGGCAGAGGAGAAAGCTAATTTCATGCATCTAAAGTTGGCATGAAACAAGTTGCGATCGTCTTCCCTATTATGATTTGAATTGTCAATTTTGATTTCATGGTGACTTTGACTTTATATGTGTCATTTTGCAGTCCTTCTATTTTGTTCACTACAAATGCATATTGTTTTGCTTCTTTTCATTTCAGTTGGAGTAAACACCTTTGACTACCTGGGCAGTATCCTCAGCTATATATTGATCGCGATCCCCATCTTTGCTGGAGATTACGACGGCCTGACACCTGGAGAACTGAGTGCTCTTGTCAGTAAGGTGAGTCACTTCAAACTGTATTTAATGTGGTGGACTTTAAGACAAACACAAGTGCTTCTGCTCTGAGTGAGTCTCTGTTGTACACAATAGGATGTTAATCACATGTCTCTTTCAGAACGCTTTCGTCTGCATCTATCTGATAAACTGCTTCACGCAGCTCATAGATCTCTCAACCACAGTGTCTGATGTCGCTGGATACACGCACCGGTGAGGTGCTCTAAGACTGCTTAAAAGCACATATTTTATTGTGCATCAGTGTTATTATGTTGGTTATTCTTTTGGTTCCAGGATTGGAGAACTGCGGGAAGTGATGGCATACATTGCCAAGAAACAGTGTGTCCAGGATCCACTTTCAAAGGATGAACCTTACAGGTAATTTAAAACTAATTGAAATTAATTTTGGATGCAAGTACCAACAAACAATATTGGTTCACATTATGTCAAGACTCGAACTCAAGATCTAATATAGATCTAAAAGTGTTTCTAGTAGTCCTGAATACACAGTAGTGTTGTTTTAGTAAAACCCCAAAATATTTCAAAATATTAACAAAAACTATAATAGTATATCATTGAAACTAAATTAGTATCAATGATATACTATTATAGTTTTTGTTAATATTTTGAATTAGGTTTATTTTTATACATTCTCTTTCTATTTTAATTTTAGTTAAAGTTTTAGTAATTTTGTTGTGCTTTTTTTGTCATTTTTATCTTTATACTTTTTATTTAGTTTTAATTATTTTATGATGACTTTTTGCACTTTTAACTAATATCAATTCTTCTTTTAGGGTCTATAGATGATGAACGAATACTAAAGTACCTGGAACTTGTTGGTTTGGTAAGACTTAACTGATATTGTAATGTCTGCTATTATTGATTTTAAAATATGGTTGCTCTGAATGTTCTGTAAGCAGCATGTCTTTGTGTATTTTGTATGTCAGTCGAATCTTCTGACCAGAATAGGAGGACTGGATACAAAAGTAGACTGGAGCTGGTGAGAAATGAGTATTAATATCTAGAGATAAAAATTAGGATTATTTTAAGAACATACAAAAATGCAATGCCCTTGTTTTTCACAGGTATGATGTTTTATCGCCAGGAGAAATGCAGAGGCTTTGTTTTGCTAGGCTGTTTTACCTGCAGCCCAAATATGCAGGTCAGTTTCTGCATAGTTTCATCAAATTTCCTGTAGCTTTAATTACTACAATCAGTCAGATGATCCCATTCCTGTCCTGTGTCAAGAGTAAGACATGCGGTTTGTTTCAGTACTGGATGAGGCCACTAGTGCTCTGACGGAGGAGGCCGAGGGTCAGCTCTATAAGGCCTGTAAACAGCTGGGAATCAGTCTCATCAGTCTGGGTCACCGTAGCACTCTGAAAAAGGTGATGATCTATGACCTTTTCACATTCACTAAAACAACATGGCAAACTTTATTGTATGGCCTGTCCTTAGAATTCTTTTTTTTGTGTTCTTTAAACAGCATCATGATATCATGCTGCGACTGTGCGGAGGTGGCCAATGGGAGCTCACCAAACTTAAAGAGGCGTGAACCTTCAAACTTCAAACCCACTATAATGAGAACATATCGGTCCGTTTTGTAGTTATGGGTGCATTAAGTCTTGAGACTCTGGAGATATCTTGTTTACTTGACCGTATACTGCGATTTACTGAAGTTCTTGATACACTAATTAAGCAGTATGAGTCTTTTTGATACTGTTTGTCTCAACATACTTTTCATATTGCAATATATGCCTTTTTTATTATGCAAGTATATGCTGCTTCATTCAACCTTTATTGGTTGTTTGCACAAAAAAGTGATTTTTATAATGAAGGACATTTAAGAGTATTTCAAGAATAATTTAGGATAAAGTGCCTATAGAACATATTTCAAATATATATTTTATAAATATTAAATATTTTATTAACATTGCTGATATTAAACTATCAATGTCCAAGCAAATGTCAAAATGGTCTTTTTGGTCATAGGTGGTCATAGAAACTTTGTAGGGAAAGATGTTTACTCTAGTGTTTGGCTGCAAATTATTCTGGAGGGAAAATATACATTTCTGTAATTTCTCTGCCTGACCAGTAGAGGGCCAACATTTTCCAGCCACAGAGCTGAATCACAATTCAACTCCATTAATAATTTTGTACGAGTTTAATTAAGCTCAGAATTAAAATAACTCATTCTCTATTCCTAATACATACTCTATTAATGAATTTGAGCAATAAATACTTTTTCTCAAATGCATTGTTTTAAATGTATTTGAGAAAAAGAAGACAAAAGTATTTAGCACATCTATAAGGAAAGGTGTGATCGGTCTGGAGGAAATACAGTAGATTGTGAAAAATGTACAGCCTCACATACCACAATATCTCCCTGCTAGAATACAGTATATTTAGCTCCAAGTTAAAATTAGCAAACTTTCTCACTTTATATGTTTAGAAACAACTTGATCTGATCTGTGTTTTGTATTTATAGTATTCTGTGTGTATATATATATATATGGCATGCATATACTACCTCTGGCCACAGTGAACTCTATCTCAAAGAGTTAGCGGTGTATCTGCAGTTTATCTGTTGCCATGCAGGGAAAACTTATAGTAGTTCGAGTTTTTGATCTGATCTGTGTTTTGTATTTATAGTATTCTGTGTGTATATATATATATGGCATGCATATACTACCTCTGGCCACAGTGAACTCTATCTCAAAGAGTTAGCGGTGTATCTGCAGTTTATCTGTTGCCATGCAGGGAAAACTTATAGTAGTTCGAGTTTAAACTAGTTCTTAAAAGAAGAAAACATGGATAATTTGCATAACCAGACATTTATGTTAGCATTGCAGTACAAGCGCTGAGCATTTGTGTTACATTAAAACCAGGCAGGATTGTGAAAGTTGCACATTTGCAAACTAAAGCATCAAAATTATCCCTCCCACCAAAGAGTTTGACTGATCCCACTGCTTGAGTTTCAGACCGTTTTAAATGTGAGCCTGGCCGATCTGCTGCTGTCAATCAACAGGCACGGGAAAGACCCGCTAGTCATTCAGGAAAATATGAGACAATCAGGAGAGGAATAACTAAACCAAATAAAATATCCTTACTGTAGCTACCTAGGTGTATTGAATCTTAAAATTTAAACCAACTGCTTAAATTCACACTGTAACTTGCAGGATTGTTCAAATATAAAGTTCATAAAGGAAAAGGATGTTAATCCTTTTGGTAAAATGCCACAAACCCAAACCTATGTCAGTATTTTGAAACACGGTATTAACAGCATATACAGTAGCTGTGTTTTTCTTTGTCTATGTTTCTAAATGTAAAACAAAAAAATAACAATAGGCAATACAATTTGATTTGTCATATTTAATGTAATGCAATGTAATTTAAAATCATCATGCAAGTAGCCTATCTACTGCAACAGATATCTTGAGTCCATAGAATATAATAACAATAATGTGCAATTTGTTACTGCATTAATCTCCTGACTACCAGGAAAAAACAGTTTTGCGAATTTAGTATTTTGTCATGTCATTACATTGTTTAGAGCATAAGAAAAAAATTTTAAAATAAAATTTTTGAAAAATTATATTTTATTCATATGTTATGCCATGTCCTCTGTAGAAGACATCGGGACTTTAAAAAGTCCTGTTTTTTAAAGGGGTCATATGATGCTTTTTTAAAGATCATTATTTTGTGTATTTGGTGTAACAGAATATGTTGACATGCTTTAATGTTCAAAAAACACATTATTTTTCAAATACTGTACATTATTGTAGGTCCTCTATGCCCCGCCTCTCTCAAACGCTTCGTTTTCTACCTTGACGGGAAAAGGTAAGAGGAGGGGTGTGTTTTTTTTTTGTTATAAAATATTAAAACGTGAAACTTTCAATAACTGAGGGAATACTTTTCTCTTGCCTTTTCAATGTTTCTGTGTTATTTTATTACATATGTCGCAAATTCAACAAGTTTGAACTGATTACGTTACTTTATTATTTTGTTGCTCTACAGAAAGCAAGAATGGATCAGAATCTATTTGGTGGGGCTCCACGGTTCCTAACTCGACCCAAGGCCTTCTCGCTGTGTGTGGGACGAGATGCCTCCCTCAGCTGCACTATTGTGGGAAACCCTGTTCCTGTGGTCACCTGGGAGAAAGGCAAGATGCTTCTTTCTGCAGGTGGACGCTTCAAGAAAGTAGAAGATGGTGACGTTTACCGACTTACCATCTACGATCTAACTCTAGAAGACAGCGGTCAGTACATGTGTCGTGCCAAGAACAATGTCGGAGAGGCATATGCAGCTGTGACCCTGAAGGTGGGACTGCCGGAAACTGTGATTGATCGGGCCCCAGTGTTTACAGTAAAGCCTGTCTCCACCCGTGTGGGTCTAGGGGGTGACGTTACCTTCTACTGTCGGGTGGCAGCCCATCCAGCTCCCAACTTTGACTGGGAAAAGGATGGTCGCTACCTGGGTGAGACCAACCGCATCAAGATAATCTCGGAAAATGACTCCAGCTCCTTGAGGATCCAGAGTGTTAGGAGCTTGGACAGTGGTACCTACACCTGCCGTGCGCAGAACTCCATTGGCCGTGCTCAGGCCGCTGCTGCTCTGGTGGTCGACCTTCAAGATACTCGTCTCCTGAATGCAGACAAGAGCACATCCCTCCTCTCACACATGCAGAAGCGGAAAGAAGAAATGCGGAAGGACATCTCCTTATACCGTACCATGGAAAGTTCCTCAACCACGCTTACAACTTCATCTTCCATGATCACAGAGGAACATGGAAGCTTGGGACTCGCCTATGATCAGGAGCAGAGGGTTTCGGCCTTAACCAGCATGTTGCCCAAAGGTGTGTTTACCCGCACCTGTACGGTGACCGAGGGTAAACATGCAAAGCTTAGCTGTTTCGTCACAGGCCATCCCAAACCTCAGATTATCTGGAGGAAGGATGGGGCGAACATCAGTGAGGGCCGCAGACATGTTATGTATGAGGACCAGACGGAGAATTTCATCCTCAAGGTGCTCTACTGCAAACAAAGTGATAATGGGCTGTACACCTGCAATGCATCCAACTTGGCTGGACAAACCTATAGCGCTGTGCAAGTGATTGTCAAAGGTAAGAATAATGTCTGCAGGCACTTACTCTTGGCAACTTTATGCACACTAATTGATCCATCTGCTGTCAGAATGAGTATGTACATTCAGTTTACACTTGGATCAAAGAAGAAATTATTGATAATTTGGGGTGGAAAAGCTTTAAACCCATGTAATGTTTGAAGCTTGCAAATTTACACTGAGTAGTCCTTTTTGGGAGAAGTAAGTTTTCATTTGTTGCTTGAACAACCAGTTCCATTTATACTTAGCTGAGTCATGTCTTGTATATATGTCTCCTCCTGAGATGGTTTGAGTTTTTGGATTGCTATGTCTTGGGGGTGTTGTTTACACTTGGGTATTTCCAAAAGATATAGCCAGTCAGTAAACAAAAGTGACCAGATTAAAAAAAAACTTTGTGCAATCATAAAGTTAGGTCCATTTATACTTAGCTGAGTCATGTCTTGTATATATATGTCTCCTCCTGAGATGGTTTGAGTTTTTGGATTGCTATGTCTTGGGGGTGTTGTTTACACTTGGGTATTTCCAAAAGATATAGCCAGTCAGTAAACAAAAGTGACCAGATTAAAAAAAAACTTTGTGCAATCATAAAGTTAGTTTACTATTAAAACTACAAGTACAGTAGTTTATAAATTGAGGCTGGCACATACGTCAGCACAATAATGACAATGTTAAAATACAGTTGGCCCTAATAAATCACCAACCTTTAAATTGAAATTTTATCAACTAATGACAGTCATCTTTGCCTTCCAGCTCAATCTCTGCTTAGCAAAGTGCTTGCAAGTGTTCGAAGAGGGTGTAGCATTACACCTATTTTCTGCTAGTGATGATTAGTTCACAGTTGTTGTGATAGCTAGCTGCAGACTCACTTTTGACACCGTTATGTGGGTGACTTTCCAAGTGACGTCTTCAGGATTGCAGCATTAGTCTATGTCCTAATTATTTGCCAACTATGCCTACGTTGATATAATGATCTTCACAGATGTATACATTTTGTATTTATACAGAGTTCTAATTTTAGCCAGAAGTGTAGCAATAATGTTTTGCTACCTTGTTCCTGTGTCTTAATCTTGACACTCATGCCACAGGCACCTAAGAGAAAGGTCACAGAAACTAACAAGCGGTTTCCTATGTTCTAATGATTTGAAAATGTCATACTGTATGTACCACAGTAATCACGTCAAATCGAATGACACCACAGCTACTATGTGGTGACTGTACTAGTGCATTTCTTTAATAATGTTTCAACAGTAAACATAATTGCTTTTGACATTTAGAGAGATTCCATTTCTTTAACCTGATTAACAATATTATAAACTTTGACCTCAGCACCAAGGAAACATCCCCCAGATCCCCCAGTTGAGCCAGTGGTGCGGAACAAGACAGATTCATCGATCACACTGTGCTGGTCTCCACCAGACAGTGAACGGCCTGTGCCCATCACCGGCTATCTCGTTGAGCGCAGGAAGGTGGGAGCCCAAACCTGGGTTAAAGTCACTAGTACGTCTGTGTCTAGCACTGAATACACCATCAGTGAAATTTCAGAAGAAGCAAGCTATCAGTTCCGCATCTCAGCGGTCAATGATTTTGGTCAGAGTGCCTACTTGGAGGTTCCTGGAACGTTTTACCTTGGTGAGAAAGTTTTTTGTTGTCGTTGTTGTGGACAGTCTTCATATTTAAACTAAAATAAACTGTTTTAAATCCAGTAAATATATTTAAGTTTATTTGTTCAGAGCCCACAGCATCAGTGAAGACAGGCCTGGTGAACTGCAGTGCACATGTAGGTGAAGAAGCTACCTTCACTGTTGAGCTCTCAGCCGTATGTTCCAGCTCCTGGACCATAAATGACAGAATGATCCGCAGTGGGTCTGAGTATCTGATCACACGCTCAAAGACCACACATACGCTGGTCATCAGGGAGGTGTCCATGGAACTAAATGGAGCACAGGTCAAGTTTGTGGGTGGTGGATCTCAGAGTGTTTCCACGCTTAGTGTGAAAGGTAAGAGAGGAAACGTTTCTGAAAACTTAAACAGAATAACTTCAACAACATTCCTGATATTTTGTATTGGTCTTCTCTAGCCACACCCGCACGTTTCACCAATAAGTCTTCTCAGGTGGAGGTGTTTGCTTTCAGCATGCACTCCTCTGCTCAGATGTACACAGAAGTGTCCGATTCAAGCGTCCAGGTGACAACATGCACTTTTTTGTCAAAATAAAAACAAAATCCACAGAAAATACATTAAGTATTTTAAGTTTGTTATGCTTTCTCCTGTCCCAGTTTAAATTGTCTCGTTCAACCAACTTTGAGATGCATTGCCCAAAGGGACAAACACCAAATATCTATTAAATGTGTGGACATGATGGGATGTAGTTTTTTTTTTTGAAAGTTAACTGCATGTACTGTCTGTGCTTTAGGTTGTTTGGATGAAGAATGGGAAGGAGCTGAGGATGGGTAAAAAATATGAAGCCACAAGTATGGAGCGTAAACGCACACTGACAGTCCACAACGTTGACTGTGAGGATGTGGGCATCTATGAATGCATGTGTGATGGCGATAAAATGTCTGTCCAGCTCGCCCTTAAAGGTGAAACAAGCTGCTTCAGTTACTGACCTTCAGTTATCTTATGGTTTTATAGCCTGTATTTATATTTCAAGCCTAAAGTAGAACAAATTATATTTACAATTAATTTACATACATGAAAGTGGAACAATTTTAAATTGTATTTATAGTGAAGAGAGTATCCTGCCAAATAATAGAGGAGAGAAATACACAGTGGTGCATGCTGTTTGCCATGAAAACCAGTGCTGAGTAGTGAGTGCTTCATAGCCCAGCACAGAAAGTTCAGAGTGGATAAATGGTGTAAGCAGTCAGTGTTGACATCTACTGTAGGAGCAGCTGGGCTTTGGCTGCTCAACAGGAAGTGTTGGAGGGTGTGTTTGTCAGGTAACAGATCTGCTTAGCACTCATGCAATTTCAGGTATCAAATTCAGTATACTTTGGGATGTGATGAGTATTTTTGATATGTACATGTGTACATTTTTGATATGGGTTGTCACATTTGTGTGTCAGCATTTTTCACTGTCAAATTATATACAAATGGACAGTGGATGTCATTATGTTTCTTATGCCATGTTTAATGTGTGTTTTATAATGTATTTCTATACCTAATCATGTTGAAATCAGAGAGGTGTGGCATCTAATCCTTAATTTTCCCCTGACAGAAGAACCAGCTAAGTTTGTTAACAAGCCGAGGGCTCAGCCCCAAGAGAGTGATGCTCTTGTGGGCGACGTGGTGTTGAGCTGTGAGGTTGGTTCTCCTGGAACTGCTGTTGTGTGGAAGAAAGAACAATCAGAAATAATGGAGGACAAGAGGACAACTTTTATATCTCAGGGGACACAAAGGAAGCTGGTCATCAGGGGTGCCAAGCAGAGCGATGAAGGACACTACTCGTGTGAGACGGCAGAGGACAAAATGACATTCCTGGTCAAGATAAAAGGTATGACTATGCGCTAATTAGTCTGAAACTAAAAATTTAAATGAGGAGGATTAATCAGACATGCCACAATACCTAACTAATGTCATAACTTTATGGTTTTTTGAACAGTGAAGTTAAATTCTAAAGTTATACCAGCCTTGTATAAGTTATATTAAAGTTTAGCATGTCATTTATTATGCCTATGTCAGATCTTACTGAGGACAGTAATGGTCCTTCCAAGGTACAGCTCTTTTCCGAGTACCTAAGGTATTGTAATTATAAAAGGTAAACTTGAAAACAAATAATTGTAGATTAGTCTCCGGGAAATCGCTTAGAGGTTATTGAAATTTGCACAAAACGGATTATTAAGCCAGTGTGTGTTTGTCCATTTTGGAGATGTTTGAGGTCTTTTTGAAGTCCTGAACTGTATTCTTTTTGATGTTTCACTAAAACAATGAATGTCCTTTTTAGAAACTCGTGCTGCTTTCTCCAACAAAGACTCTTATCAGAAGGAGGTGAAGGTTTCAACCTCCCAAAAGGCCACACTGAGCTGTGAAGTTTCTGATGCCAAAACTGAGGTGAAATGGTTCAAGGATGGCAAGCAGTTGATTTCCAGTAAGACTGTCCACATGGAGTCAAAGGGCAAGAGCCGTCAGCTGGTGCTGGAGAATGTGGAAAAGAAGGATGCTGGAGAATATACCTGTGAAGCTGGAAATGAAAAGCTGGTCTTTAAGATTCAGGTGGAAGGTAAGAACAACATGCCAGCGTTTTGGCTTTTTTAAGGCTCCAGTGACTCAATCAACCTTGACTAAACCAATCTTTACATAAAACTAAATGCAGTTTCTGATACTGTATTCCTAAATCTTTACTTCTGCCCCAGACATTCAAGCCGCCTTCTCCAACAAAGACTCCTATCAGAAGGAAGTCAAAGTAGCTGCTTCCCAAAAAGCCACACTGAGCTGTGAAGTTTCTGACCCCAAGACTGAGGTGAAATGGTTCAAGGATGACAAGCAGTTGAGCTCCAGTAAGACTGTCCACATGGAGTCAAAGGGCAAAAGCCGTCAGCTGCTGCTGGAGAACGTGCAGAAGAAGGATGCTGGAGAATATACCTGCGAAATTGGAAATGAAAAGCTCATCTTTAAGATTTGTGTGGAAGGTAAGAGAACCATGGCAGTGTTTTGGCTTGTTGTTTAAGGTTCCAGTGACTCAATCAAACATGAGCGAAGCACAGTTTACATAAAACTAAATGCAGCTTCTGAGACTATATTCCTAAATTTTGATTTCTGCCCCAGACATTCAAGCTGCCTTCTCCAACAAGGACTCTTATCACAAGGAAGTGAAGGTTTCAGCCTCCCAGAAAGCCACACTGAGCTGTGAAGTGTCTGACGTCAAGACTGAGGTGAAATGGTTCAAGTATGGCAAGCAGTTGAGCTCCGGTAAGATTGTCCACATGGAGTCAAAGGGCAAGAGCCGCCAGCTGGTGCTGGAGAATGTGGAGAAGAAGGATTCTGGAGAATATACCTGTGAAGCTGGAAATGAGAAGCTTGCCTTTAAAATTCAAGTGTCAGGTATGTCCTTGTGTTTGTCTGTTGGGTTGAACAAAAGAGTTTGATATATGCTTTGCCTCACAAGATTTTATTAATGTGTCTTCAAGAAGAGGTACAATGACAAGTAGAATAATTTTTTGCCCATTTCAGTGGTACAGAACCAAAAACAAGTTACAGTCTGCAATGTAATTAGCTTTTTTGTGGATTCATTTGCAGTTTATTTTGCATTCCTAATTTCTTAACCATCTAGTGTTTGCTGTATCTGTTGTATAGAATCTTGAGGGATATATTTACTCAAAGCATACTGTTTTCTCATATTGTCCATTGCCCAACCAGACATTCAAGCTGCCTTCACCAACAAAGACTCCTATCAGAAGGAAGTCAAAGTAGCAGCTTCCCAGAAGACCACACTGAGCTGTGAAGTTACTGACCTTAAGACTGAGGTGAAATGGTTCAAGGATGGCAAGCAACTGAGCTCCAGTAAGACTGTCCTTATGGAGTCAAAGGGCAAGAGCCGCCAGCTGGTGCTGGAAAATGTGGAGAAGAAGGATGCTGGAGAGTACACCTGTGAAGTTGGAAATGAGAAACTTGCCTTTAAAATTCAGGTGACAGGTATGGGAACATCCTTTTGTTTGTCTTTTGGCTGTCTGTTTCTATTTTAGGTTTTCTTCCTTATGAAATAAATCAAAATTACAATCAATCAGTGAAGCTTGACAAAAGCTACTTTTACATGTAGCGAAAGAGTTTGTCCTTGATGAAAGAGACCATTGAGTAAGATACAATTAACTTGTGTTTGTAGATTTAGTGACGCATACATTTTCTGATCAAGAAGTAATTTCAAAATTAAAAAGCAATTTCTTGCTTATTTCAGTGCTACTGGAAAAGTAATAGTCTGCAGTAAGATTTGGATTTGTTTGCTTAATGTACATTCTATGATTTTTGATCTCTTCTGGATTTCTCAACCATTCAGTCTTTGTAGTATTTGATGTCTATAACTTAAAATAAAATATTTACTCAAAGAATACTGTTTTCTAATATTGGATCCATGTTGCAATATGCCTGCCCAACTAGATATTCAAGCTGCCTTCACCAACAAGGACTCTTATCAGAAGGAAGTCAAAGTAGCTGCTTCCCAAAAAGCCACACTGTGCTGTGAGGTTTCTGACCCCAAGACTGAGGTGAAATGGTTCAAGGATGGCAAGCAGTTGAGCTCCAGTAAGACTGTCCACATAGAATCAAAGGTCAAGATCCGTCAGCTGCTGCTGGAGAACGTGGATAAGAAGGATGCTGGAGAATATACCTGTGAAGTTGGGAACGAAAAGCTGCCATTTAAGATTCAGGTGACAGGTATGGAAACCATTTTGGACTGTTCATTTTGGTTCTGTGCATCTTAACAGTCTTCTTTGGGTTATTTAAAAGCTGCTATGAAAATATTTCTTGTCTCTTGTCATATTCAACGTAATTGCAACCCTACTGTTGATTTTCTCTGTAAATAGGCAAACTCTTTGAATTAAGTAAACTCTCTTCTTATTAGAGCTCAAAGCTGCCTTCACCAACAAAGACTCTTATCAGAAGGAAGTGAAGGTTTCAGCCTCCCAAAAAGCCACACTGAGCTGTGAAGTTTCTGACCTCAAGACTGAGGTGAAATGGTTCAAGGATGGCAAGCAACTGAGCTCCAGTAAGACTGTCCACATGGAGTCAAAGGGCAAGAGCCGCCAGCTGGTGCTGGAAAATGTGGAGAAGAAGGATGCTGGAGAGTACACCTGTGAAGTTGGAAATGAGAAACTTGCCTTTAAAATTCAGGTGACAGGTATGGAAACCATTTTGGACGGTTCATTTTGGTTCTGTGCATCTTAACAGTCTTCTTTGGGTTATTTAAAGGGTTAGTTCACCCAAAAATGAAAATTAGCCCATGAATTACTCACCCTCAAGGCATCCTAGGTGTATATGACTTTCTTCTTTCAGACGAATCCAGTCGGAGTTATATTAAAAATTGTCTTTGATCTTCCAAGCTGTTTAATGGCAGTCAG